ATAATTATTCTAATGTTTTAATTGCAAAAGTGCACTGTGTTGCAGTATATATTTAATGTTTTACAAACCAAAAGATGTTTGAAAAATCCAAATGACTTACAATATTCAAATTATATATGGAATCCCCCAAAACAATTTAACTAGTGACTACATAATTACAAGGACAATTAAGAAGTCTTAATAAATGTACTATTATTTTTAAAGATCTTTAAGTTTTTCAATTCATAATTTCAGAAGTCTGTTGGAAAGTGAAAGCCACTCACCACTGAACAGTCTGCGCGACCTACGACAGCACAACATGTAGGTCCCCGTGTCACTGCTGACATCCACGTCGCAGGCACAACGGGACCCTCCGTGCTCACCCAGTACTCAGGGAGATCTGCACCTTTCAGTCACACCAAGACACAGAGCCCGGACTCAGCCTTCTCACACAATGCGCCTCCTTTTCTGCTAGCGCTGGTGAGTCCAGCTACCGCACCAGCCGCACAGCTGATGTGCAAATGCGGGCTGCTGCTTCAGTGTGTTGGAGACACCACGGAATGAGTTTCCGTTTCCCCACTCACGCACACGCACACCCGTCGGTAACGAAAAGTGCGTGTTAATAGTCCCACGGGACAAACGAACAGCAACTGCCCTCAGAGACAGGAGGGCACACGGATGGTTCAGGGGAGTGCTTTAAATGGGCAGGAGCAGATACAGCACAAGTGATACCACGAGGCAGCAACTCAGAAACATTTTTGTACTTTCTGCCTTCTTGAAACATTGAAGACCTGACAATATGGTCATCTTTGGAAAAAACCAAGGATGACAGATTATCACTATGGGAACCAATCACTCCCGGGTATTATAAATATCTGTTAGAATATGGTAAGCAACGAGGAGAAAGACACAAAATGAAAATGTAAATACTGATTCTAGAATCCAGACTAGCGAAACTCAGGAAGTTTACAATTTATGAATGGGTAACCTTTAAAAATTTGACCTATAATCTAGACAGGCAAAACTTGAAAGTTTATTTTCTTACATGAGACCAATGTTACAGAGTAGCTGGAGTCTCAGGACAGCTCCTAAAAACATGTAATTCACACCCTGAAAATACTTCTACCATCACAAGGGATTTGAGCACAAGGTCCCTGGTTTTACAGTTTAAGACCTGTGGAACAGTAACATAAATGTAGTACTGTATTATGAAGTCTACCATTTAAAGAAAAAAAATCTTAATCAGAAGAACTAAAGCCTTTTTTAGACCTGCTCAGAAAAGCATGTTCATGGACCTCAGAATTTCCTGAAGGAACCAAACAAGAACTATAAAGATGTTAGAATCGCCGAGAAATAATTCTAGATTAATGAAAACACAGACACAGAAGTCATGCGCCCGAGAAGCATGTTAGGTGACAGTTTTCTATACTACGCTAAGTCGGTCATACCGTCTGCCCCAGACGACTTGGCTAGGACGCACTCTTAAGTCAGAAAGCAAGGAGTCTTCCGTGTGCCTGAGGAGTTACCCATCCGCAGAGTGCAGAAGCGACTCTGCTTTCCTCATTCCAAATTAAGGATTGGTGGGCAGCAGTGCGGCTCAGTGCAATGGGGCCTCTTCCGGGCGGGGCCTGCTAATGGCTAGGTAGCTTCGGCCGGCTTGCTTGGCCTCTCTAAATATGTATTTCCTCGTAGGTAAAAGGAGAAACACTGTATGGAAATACTGCTGAGATCAAACCTAACAGTGTGCTAATAAATGTAGCTTCTGCTCCGTGACAAAACGTATTTTATTAACTACCAGGGTGAGGTAAAGTAAACACAACTAGGAGTCCTGCTAGACTTGGCCTAAATAATGGACATGACTCACTGGAGACTGCTCTGCACACAGGAAATAATTAGAGCAATTCCTTATTTTTCTGTCTAGGTCAAGCTCTGGTGGGAGAAAGTTTTTCTTAACCCCTACAGCCAATCGCTCCCTACTCTGCGGACGGTGCTAACATCCACGGGCACCGGGTGCAGGTGGCAGTGTGATTATCCCGCTTACAGGGCTGAGTTCCCTGTAACAGAGACTTCCTCCTGTTCAACTCCGTATTTTCAGTGGTGCCTCTGCTAATAATTACTAAGCAGTTGATGTCTTGGGTAGGATTATACTGATACCAGATGAGACAATCATGACTTCTATCCAGTGGGGTATAATTTAATATCTCAGTCGGAGATACGTACTCAAAAAGAAGAGAAGTCTGATGAAAACCACACGTCCGAACGTAAAGCTCTGGGGCTGGACCTTTCTATTCTTTCTATTACAAGGCAAACATGGAGAAGAGCTACTGAATGCCAGACTTATCCTCGGTTAAGGCACCTCGGCCGGTACCACTGGTATCGCACTTGGCTCGAACCGCTGACAACGACGCACAACTTAGCGCGGCCCCGCGGGGAGGGCCCGGCGCCCCGACCGACCCAGCAGCCGGCGTC